CTCCCTACAAGCTCTCGAATTTGCTGATTCAAACCCTTCAGGTACTTGCAGTCTTTCTTGGCATTAGTATTCACCATCTCACCAGCGAAGATACTCATGCGACTGAAATTGCGTGTATACTCATCCACGCTGGCGTTCCCCTGCTGTAGGTGCCAAAAATCCTGCTCCATGCGACCACGGAAACTCTGGGGAAGAAATTTGTCTCGAACGATATCCTTCATACGCTCCCAGGTCAGCACATTGTGCTCCGCCTCTGGCCTCAAGGCCCAATAATCAATCAACTAGTCCGAAGCGTCCATTTTCATCTGAAAGCCAGCCAAAGAGACACGCTGTGGCTGAGTGAAAGGGAGCACAGCGTAGATTTTATCCAGCTCCTTCATCCACTCCAACACGGCAGTAGGACTTTCAGTCCCCGTGAAAGTAGGTGGATGCATGCCCTGGAACTGAATGATAAGCCTCGGAAAATCCCGGTCTAGATCGGGAGGAGCATGCTGACGAGGCAAAGGAGGCGGGGAAAGAGACGGAGATGGCTGCCCATTGCGAGCATTGCGTCTAACCATAGCTCTACATTGAATAATCCGAATAGTTTAGCACAACCAAAAGTCAATTCTAGAGTTAATCACTCAACTTCCAGAATTCAACTTATAATAAGGTGGATAGTCCTAAGCCCCAATAATATAATCAAAACACAAATTCATACCTCGAGTTGGCGCGGCGAGACGGAGCGAGTGGTCAATGGTCATTAACACAATAACACCTAGAGATAATCTACAGAAACGCAGACTAGCTCTGATACCATACTGTAACGCCCCGTTTTATTTTAAAGAGTTTGCTAGATTTATTAATGAAAATCAGAGTAAAATTTTCGCAAAAATTCAACTTAAAACCTTACTTTAACGGGCGCTACTTAAATCAACTAACAAGTTAAACAATTTAAACATCCACGATGGTTCTAAACATGCGGTCTAACAATTATAATAATTAAACCAAATCATGCATAAGTTTTCAAAACCAATTCAAAACATCATGATCCCATCGACATGTTCAAAAGTTAAAGCGGAAACATAATAATCCATAAGTAACAATCCAACAAAAAGAATAGATAAAGCGGAAAAGACATGACAATCGAAAGACCACCACTTACTCGTCTCTCACTGTCGCCGCCAACAATGCTCAACCTAAAGATAGGAAAAGGAAACAAGAGGACAAAAACAAATAATGGGGGTGAGCAAAACCACTATGCTCACCAATATCGCATAAGTCTATCTCGCATAAAGATTCAACACCATAAATAAAGTATGCATAGAATCCAGATCTATCTCCCCATATGGCCCTATCGCAAACCTCCTATGTACATACAACAACCTTCCGATCAAATATCAGCAAGGAAGTAACCGGAAACCTTCCCTCCCTAGCTCGACATAGGCAAGGGATCTTTTCCAGGAGACAGTGGAGCTATTTTTCCCCTCCCGACTAGGCAAACGGTTTAGGGCGTCGCCTCTCGACTAGGAAAATGGTTCACCGACCTCTCACTGTTTATGCATTCGTCAAAGGCATTAAAGGCGAGACGCCCCTGGCGGTGTAACACACTAGACTAGGGTTCTCAGGCATACTAAAGTTATCGAGACGAACATTTATATGAAATAACGAAATGCGATAATTATAGACACAAATTGTACCCACCTAGAGATAGAAATTAACACAAAAGGCGAGGCTCGGTAAGTGGAGAGGTCAACACCTCAAAGCACCTACACGAAACAAGATATCCTCCTGATTACTAATAATCCAAACGAATACATAGACTTAGTTGAAACGCTTCAACTAAGTGGCTCGTGGAAAATCTCGTGGAGTTATGGAACATTGACTCGACTCGGGACCAAGTATAGAAAACTAAAATAATAGTCAAATAATAGTTGACCAAGTTAAATAAACATTCAAAGGTCAACTCAAGTCAAAAGGCTCGAGAAAAAGTCTGAAGGTCGGATTACGGACTTGGCTTGCGCGGTGTAGGGCTCTGCCGACACTACTTAGGCAATCTCTCGGTTATCTCAAAATCCAACCAAGAGTTTGACTCCAAAATTGAGACACATAACATATATTCATCACAAAACAACATGCAAGAAGAAATATCCTCAAATTTTACATTTTAATAAAATAAACGGGACTTTACAAAAATCGACAATTTGAGGCACATAGTCATGATGTCTAAGCAATTGAGAGAGTCATTATATAAAATTTTTAACACATCAAAATACATCCTGAATAGAGTAGAATTTTAAAGTTTCAACCCTAAAACATAACATGTGATTTTATTAAATAAATATAATTTTTCAGCATATTAAGGACTTGAATTTAAATTCTGGTCATATAAACAATTTAAGACCTCAAATGTTTAACAAAAATATTAGATAATGCCAAGGGCAATATATAAAAATTTTAGACTTAAACCATAAACATGTAATTTATGGAAATTGAAACAAATTTCAGCCGAGAAGCTGATTTTTATGAAAATACAATCTATTGCATTCACATATCTCTGAAATTTTTACTATATCAAATATAACATAAAATAAGAACAATAACCAAGTTTCATGCATTTATATTATAAATTCGATTTTATATGATTTATCGAACATTCTGCAAAAATAAACATTTAATTATTTACCCTATCATTTCAAATCTAAAAATTATAAAATCTAAGAATGAGGTCTATATATATCACAAGAAAAACATTTAAAATTTCTGAATTTTTAAAGAACCGAGCGAATTATCATGAATTTCTCAAGATTCAGCAGTCACATAATATATAAAAATGCATATTTTTCAAAATACAAGTCCGATTAACACAAGGCCAACGTCATTGTGTTCAGGACATAAATTTGTTCCATAAACCAAGAATTTTCCACGAGATACGTTTAGATGCTAAGAGTTTCACATTTTAACCCTAAGATCTAAATTTTTACAAAACATATAATATAAATTTATACACATAAATAAATAAATAATTCATGGAAGGCATATATTCAACATATAATTACATAGTTACATAAATATAAATAAGTTTAGCAAATTACTACCAAAAACAAAGGGGAGTGAAGAACGGTTTGGTCCCTGGCAGGGAAATCGTCCGCGTTAACGTGCTCGGCGTCGGGGCTTCGCGAATGGCCAGGGACTGTCTCACGGGAATGACAAAATGACAATGATGTTTGTTGGACTATCCTCTTTTTTCTATGTTAATGGCAAGAGAATGAATTTGAAACAAAAAGGGAGAGAAGAGAGTGAGGGATACGAGAGAGATAAAGAGAAATGGGAGTGATGAGAGTTGTGGGGGGTTTTTCTCTTTAAATGCCAATAACTTGTAGCTTTTCCATTACTCAGGGTAATAGCACATTAATGTGGAAATCAAGAGCTGATTTTATTTGTTTTGGGAGGTTACAATTTAGGAATTCAAATCTCAATGAACCATGCACGCGAATTGAAGGGGCGGTGTTGTGAGTATTTTTACCGGAGTAGAATCGAAAGATTCAACACCGGGTCGTATCGCAAGGAAGGTTAGCCGGATTCAATTGCACGATTATTCAATCACGAAAAAAGAGAAGAAAAATTCCTAAACTCTCTATTCAAATTGGTTTGGTTTTGATTATCAACTAAGAAACTGAGCTAATGAAAAGCAATTAAAATAGCAGAGATATTCACGCAATGATTT